ATTACACCATTCGGGCGATATTTCTTTAAGAGACTTCCGTTTGGAATCTGTTCTGGACCGGAGGTTTTCCAATTCCGACTGAGTCAAATGCTTTCAGATATCCCAGGCGTAGTGAATCAAGCGGATGATATCTTGATAATGGGGAAGACAGAAGCAGAACATGACAGCAGAGTCAAACTGGTACTAAAGAGACTCTCAGAAAATGGTATCACGTTAAACAAAAACAAATGTAAGTTTGGAGTAGAAAGTGTGATTTTCCTCGGACACGTTGTCTCATCGCAGGGAGTCAGTATTGACCCAGAGAAGACTAAAGCTATTCTGGCCATGAAAAGCCCCCAGAGTATAACGGAGGTTAGACAGTTTTTGGGAATGATAAACCAATTAATGAAGTTTGTTCCTCATCTAGCTGAAAAAACAGCACCAATCAGAAGTCTCCTTAAAAAAGGAGTTGAATGGACATGGGATGAGCCTCAAGAACAAGCTTTTAAGGAATTGAAGAAAGTTGTAGCTAATGATACTGTATTGGCCAACTACAAAAGAGAAGCAAAAACCCGTGTAATGGCAGATTTGTCATCTTATGGTTTAGGGGCAGTGATCGAGCAGTTTGATGGAAAGGATTGGCGTCCATTAGCATTTGCATCGAGGACATTAACAGAAACGGAGTCAAGATATGCTACCATTGAAAAAGAAGCTCTCGGCTTAACTTGGGCTTGCGGAAGATTTTCTAGCTTTATTCTTGGTAAAAGGTTCCAGCTTTACACAGATCATAAGCCTCTGACTGAGATAATGGGTTCAAAGCCGATCTCTGATCTTTCTTCTCGGCTGCAACGTTTTCGTATGAGATTGCAAAATTTTGACTACGAAGTTGTTCACATCCCGGGGAAAGAAAATGTAACTGCAGATTTACTATCAAGAAGCCCTGAAATTTCACCAATGGATCGGGAGAATGAGGTTATCGAGAATCTGGAGGAAGAAATGTTTGTAAGAAGCATAATTGATGCATTGCCTTGTTCTGATAAACGGCTGTTGGAAATTAAGACCCAACATGAAGACCCGGAAGGACAGGAGCTCTTAAAATGCATCCAAGAGAATACATGGCGGAAAAATTCAGTATTCTGGAAGTATCGCAATGAACTCGCTTTGGAAGATGGATTAATTGTTAAGGGAAGGAGGATGTTCATTCCAAAGGCCTTGAGAAAAGAAATCTTATCAAGATTACATGAGGGACATTTGGGTATAGTGAAATGTCGGCGGCGTGCTCAAGAATCTGTTTGGTGGCCAGGCTGTTCAACAGAAATTAGTACTACAGTGGAAAATTGTCCAACATGTATAGAACACAGACTACAGCGAAAGGAGCCTCTGATGTCTACACAGCTTCCTCAAGAGCCTTGGACCCATTTATGTGCAGATATTTTGAAATGTAACCAAACCTGGTATTTAGTAATACAAGATTATTTCTCACGATTTTTAGAGCTCATCGAACTCAATACTTTGACTTCAGCGGCAGTTATTGGAAGGATGAAAAACATTTTTGCACGACACGGGATCCCTCTAGAAATTCGTACAGATGGAGGTACTCAGTTTACTTCTGATGAGTTCAAAGGTTTCGCAAAAGACTACGGATTTAGAGCTGTAACTAGTAGTCCACACTTTCCTCAATCGAATGGAGAAGCTGAAAACGCTGTATCTATAGCCAAGAGGATTCTACTAAAGTGTCCGGATCCCAATCTTGGTCTATTAGCTTACAGGACTACCAAATTGGAATCGGGGTTATCACCTGCAGAGCTGCTGTATGGTAGAAAACTAAGAACAACTTTACCTTCTCTCAACGACTTTCAAGTGGTTGGAAAAGATCAAATAGAATCCTTTTGAAACTGTGACAAGAAAATAAGAGACAGAGTCAAGAAAAACTTTGACAACAGAAGAGGTGTCAAAGAACTTCCACCTTTAGCAGTAGGAGAGAGGGTCTGGGTTAAAGATATAAGTGCAAAAGGAACCATAAGAACAACAACCAATCTACCTCGATCCTACATAGTATCATTGAGTAATGGGAATGATGTAAGACGAAACAGATGGCATCTCATTCCCCTACCAAGAAAAGAGAATGATGATTCTGACGATGTCTACCGTGGAAGGAGGGTGCAGCCAAACCACGATGATGGAATAAGAAGATCGAGCAGAACTATCAGACCACCAATAAGATATGAGTAAATATAATGAGGAAGGGGAGATGTAGTGTCATTCATATGCCTTTGCATTTAACATATGTTTTATAATTTAGTTTGTTGTTGTGGTGATGATGACTCTTGTTGAATAATAAACACATTCTTTCCTTGCAGCATTTATTAGAATTTTATATTATATTACAGGGCCCAAGACAGCGATGTCGTGGGTTCGGATCCTGGTCACTGGCACTAAAATTTATCAGTAGGCCTACAGTTGACCTTCGTACTGTACCGGCTCACCCCTTGCTTTGCTGGATAAGTTCCACACACAGATCTGCAGTCTATGTGGATGGGCAAATGCAAGGTTAAAAGAGGTCGCCAACCTTTTTATAAAGAAAAAAAAGTAGAGGTAACTCAACCATCAAGTAGAGGTAACACAACCATCAAGTAGAGGTAACTCAACCATCAAGTAGAGTTAACTGGGGACCATCATGCGGAGGTAACTCAACCATCGTCAGGTATCATGAAATGTTCTTTAACATGATTTTGAAGAACAGTTTGTATTGTTACAATTTAAAAACTACCATAGTTTGTACCTTGTTAAATTAGCTACAAGGCAAATAAGAACAATTCAACATCAGGTACAGCTTGATTCTTTTTTATATATTTTCGATTATTTATCATTTGCATTTTACGTATTTTACTTCTTATGTGAGGGAATGGTCAAAACCCTGGTATTGTTATGGTCGAATGTGATCCTTTTGTTACATAATATCATTAATTATATAAAATCCAAAAAACAAAGCTCATGCATAGTTTGACTATAAAGAAAGTTGACAATTTTAAGAAGTTCTACTGTTGTTATAAACCTTTTTAGAGAAACAATATTTTTTTCTTTAGGCGAGAAAAAACTTAATGATATTTACAATACAAAAATACTTATAAGATTATTTATTGAAGAAAGTTCTAAAAACATAAATTCACGAAGTTATAAAATTACTGTGAGTTTTTATAGGATCTTGGTTTGTTTAACTGAAATGACTTGAGTCTAATATTGGTAGGTAAACAGTGAACTTGTGTGTTGTTTGTCTTTGTTCCAGGAATAAACATGTTGTGGAGGTACAACAGACAACATTCAGCAACACAATGTTGTATACCTACAGCACAAACAAGTATGTCACACAAGCTGTATACATAGTATACAACAATAAACCATGAGCCTTGTTTCTTGTTTTGTCAAGAGTTATAAAATTTTGAACTTAGATAATAAAGTGACTTGAAAACTTTCTAAGTTTGTTTAGAATATTTTTAAGCGGATTTTTGTTGAACAGGGAGGAGTAATGTTTATCTGCACTTTAAACAGAAGGGATTAGCATGCATGAAGTGTAAATAAGTTATCTGGTATATTGTTAATGGACTATGAGTGCTACTAACCTGGGAGTAAATATTATCATGAAAACAACAAAGCGTTGATAGTAGTTATCAGTCTATTGATAAAATATGTTTCATAGATATAACAAATAAAAAAATGTCATTCAGTTTAAATAGAAGTATTGAAGGAAGTCTATGGTTTGAAACTTCTTCTGATCAAGTACCCAGCATAAGGGTAAATGTCTGGGTAAATTAGCAAATAAATAACAATATAATAAGAGGATACGTAAACTATTATAGTCAACTTGTTTATGTTGATGAAATTTTTCCAAATTAATTATTTTATATCAAGCATTTAATATTTTACTAAAAACACACCTTATCCGTGGCAGCCAACCTAAGTACTTGTTATTAATGTTTTTTTTTTTTTTTTTTTTTTTTTTAAGAGGGAATAAATCAGTCAAGTTTAAGGAATTATCTGAGTGAAAATCCAATCAGGCAAATGAAGTGGAATTTCGCTTAATCTGCTGGTTTGCAGCGATGGGGGTATTATTTAATAATGTATGATTAATGATGGTGGTTGATTTTTTTGGGTGATTTACAATATTTATTGATAGAGGAGTGGAGCCAAAATTTTTAGACGTAACACATGTAACTTTTTTAAGGAAGAAGAATATAAAAAAGTTGGTCAATTCAAACACACAACTTAATAAAGATGACGATACTTTATATTCTAGATCATTCCAAAGATGATAAACTCAATTTGCATGTTTACTATCCTGCTAACTTTGCCTGGGACTTTTTGAATATAAATTTAAGAATAAAGAAAACATTCACTAGAATTCAGCAATTCTTTTTATTTTTAGTTGCAATGGGAAATCGAGCATAATTGTTTGGTTAGTATCTGAAAGTGTATTTATACAAATGTTTTAGTAATTTTTTTTGTAAATTTTATTTTGATGTTTAATTTTGGTACCCTTTTAAATATTGCCTGGTTAGTCAAAACTTTTCTTTTCCACACCTCTCTGTAAAATTGGGGGCATAACCTAGGTTTTAGTTCTAAAATTGATTTTTTATATACTTTTTATAAGAATCGAATTTACATAATTTTCCTACATTTCTTGAAAAATAAAACTATTATTTTTAAACCTATTATCTAGGTTGCTCTTTGGAAATAATTTCAATTTAAATGTGAATAAAGAGATCATGTTATTGAAAACTCTACAGTATTTATGGCACACTTAAAAAAACTAAAGATAGGTAGGGCTTAATACCCACATAGATAGGGGTAGGCCTACACACTTTAAATAGGCTGTGAAGAGGAGCCTTTGCAGAATTATTTCAGGTCACCCAGATATAGTGCTAATTATAGACCAAAACCTTTTAGCAATATTTAGGAAGACTCATTAAATAAAGTTGCTAACTTACTTAATTATTCAAGGGATACTGAAATTATAACCTTGATAAAATTGTGTAATTCAGATTTAACAATCAATACATTATAATATCTCTAATACAGTATTCATTAACTGACTTAGACATGAATTCACTACTTATTTGACACAGCCATAAACAATAACCGCTTACTCTCTAAAATAGCCAACGATACAGTGCAATAATCAAAAAAATAAAAAACAAAATAGCTAAGACTTTTTTTAAAAACACAAACGAGGTTCCTTGAATTGTTCTAATCATTGAATTGTTCAGAACAAAAACCATTTTACTTTCTTCCAGTAACTTCTCTTTTGTTTCCTCGTCAAGATCCAAAGCAATGCTGTTGGTCGTGTCTACTATCTTTTTTTTCAAACTAGATATGGAGTGATCCCCGAAATTCGTGACAGAGTTACCATCAGCTGACTTTTCATTCTTCTTTTGAAATGGATTTAACTTACTTCCCAATTCTCGTTTCTTAACAAGTATTTGTCCCCCTGATAGCAAACCCATGTAGAGGTGATAGATGTAAGCCATGAGAAGGATTGGGGTTTCCTTTTCGATTGTTTGCAGATGAATCAGATACTTGACCACACTCTCTCTGGGTGTATAGTTCTTGGCCCAGTTTACTCCAAGATAAAACTCAAGATCTTTTTGGAAGGCTTCAGTTCGCATCAATTCTTCAAACTTAAACTCCCCAACCGGTGTTCCTTTTAGACGAACCATGGCTTCTTCCAGATAGCGAAAGATTTCATAGAAGACGAGTAAGCCTTCTGCCCACACTGAATTATCTGACATCGCTAGAAAGAAAAACTAATCAGATGTATTTTGCATGAGAGTTTATTTTAAGCAATATAGTGCCAGCTGTATGAATATCATATAGGTAGTCAAAAAATTTAATAACTGAGGTTACCGTTACCACAGGCAGAATAATGTTTTCTCTTTTTAAGTTAAAAGAGCATTTTTTTTGTTTCTGAATCTTTTGTAATGTTAGTTATACTATGAGCATATGATACTGTGGGATATTTACCGCCACACTACACTGTTTTAATAGACTTTCCATGAATGAAATTAGTCCGGAAAACAGCTGTTTGCTGTTTAGTGCTCGATTTGCGGGGGAACACGGCAGAGCTTACAGTTTCGACACCTACCTAATTTTTCACAAATTGAGCACTGCATACTACTGCACTGTAATGAGTTTTTACCGGATACCAGCTGGTTATAATTGGCAATTTTAAGCAATTTGGCAATAACTCAACGAATCATCAAACGATTAAACAAAAACATAGGTAACCTTTCTTGGAAGTTATGAGATGATTGTACTTAAGTTGGTGGGAATATATTTAACGGATTTGTAGTTTTTTTATGTTAGGTTATTTTAGAGAGTAGTAGGCCTACCTATGGCAAAAAATATCCTATGTCACTTATCCAAAATGTGTCAACCATACTTCATGTTGTATGTTGTTTTTTCTGAATCACTGTGATATAATAATAATATGAGGTTTCAATACCTCATATATTTTTCAACCATACTTGTATGGTAATCGCGCAAGACGACCTATTTTCCAGGTTATTAACGTAATATACTATTATTATGATAGTAAGCTAAGCTTTGGTTTAACTGGAGAATGGATGAAAATACGCAGCACGTATGAGTATCAGTATTTTTGTTTTAAGTTCTAGTTGTAGTGAAGTAAAGTGACATCACTACAGTCGGGACCACAAAAGTTTGCAGTTGGTGGCAGCCAATCACAAGACAAGGCTAGTGCGACGTTGCCATATCGCCCGTTGACGACGCTAATTAAAATATTAAACAATATTTACAAATCAGCTGGTTATTAGATTTGACAACACCGCACTGTACTCATTGGCTCCTTTGAAGTCACGTGATAAATAGACTACCAAAGTTTCTAAAACGGTGGTGATTTGAAGTACCCTAGATAAGTTATATGGTATTTTCAATTAGGCCTACATGTTTCTCAGTGTACAGAAAGCTATTAAGAAAAAATAACCTGTAGCCTGATAACTTAACACTAATACCGAAACCCTACCTAGGCTGACGTTAACCGAAACCCCCGGTCTGTGAGACCCCATTTGAAAAATCATGGACCCCGCTTAGACACACACAAACCAAAACCCTCGGCCTGTGAGACACCGCTTTAAAATACACTAACGACGGGCTTCTGAGACGGGCATGTTGAACAGACAACCTGTCAAGGTCACAGCAACCATGCAAAATGAACAAACAATATATCAATTGGTAACTTAGGTGAGGAAAAGGGGGGATAGAATCTCTCAAGTAACTTAAACAGTGTTGCCAACATGCATTTTTGAAAATTCCCGTGGGCCTGTCAGACCGGGGTTACGGTATTAGTGTTAATATCTTTTTATATAAGTGGGTCCCGAGAAAAAAATCCAAGGTTGTAGTAGGTCGCCAAACCAACAAGTTTTAGGACCGTTGCTGTAAAGGAATAATAAGTTAACTTAACTTAAATAACTTACCAAAAGCAAGTTTTGCGTTAACCATGGCATCACTTATCGCATGTACTTCTCTCGTTGCTAAGCGCATCTGCTTGGAAAATGGAATTTTTTCTCTTTCTGACATGTCTCGGGTATGATTTATTTTCAACTTAAGCTCTTGTAAAGTTCACTTTCCCAAATTACTGAAAACAACAAATTTATCTTTGGATATTATGAGTCACACTCTCGATTTAGTATTTTAAGTAATGACACAAATGACATAGGCCTAGGTAGCCTATATAAAAACATAAATTATCTAACAAAATATTAAACTATAGCCTAAAAATAGTCCTTATATTTTTTTACCTAGCATATCTGGGATTACTGCATATTAAACACTTACCAGCTTAAATCGTTCTACAGCAACATAAAACAACCAGAACCTAACAATAAATATTTTGTTGTTAGCCTACGGTAAGTTATTTAGCCAACATTTTTTTAACCTTTAATTTCTTTTCTTATTTGTTTAGCATACTTTATTGTTTAATGTTTTTGTTTTGTTCTCTTTTACTCTGTCTGTACATTTTTCTTTTGTTCTTCTTGTCGCTTGTCGTTGTTACCTGCACCTGTCACTTTTAGTTCTCACTTCTCAGTCTATCGCTTCAGTCCAGTCCACACCTCATTCTCAGTCTCACTCCACCCTACTCTATTCTCAGGAGCGTCGTCTGTACATTTATTTGTGAGTTTAGAAAGAAACTAAGGGAGTATATTGTTTTATCTAAGCTACTATCCAACCTCATGGTGGAAGGAACAAGAAATATAATATATATATACAGTGAAGCAATTAAACAAATAGGAGTTATCTCAGGAACCGTTCCAAGGCCTTCTGTGCATGTGAAAAGCAGAGTTGCCCGTGGGTACAGAAGATCGAGTGGCATTGCTACATGGTTTTCATTGTCTGCTTGGTCTCGCAAACTCAAGCGTTTTTTGTTTGTTTTACTTCTCCGTGCTTCTGCTCTCTGCCTTCTGCTAAGTGCTAATGGTAATATTATTGGTGATGTGATTCATTGGTAACCTAAAATAAATCCTGATGAACTGAACTACTATAGCAAAGGCAATGAAACAATCAAGGATAGTGCTTGGTTCAAATTTGAAAACCTGATTTTTTGAAGTAAGTTATATAGTTACTATAGGCCTACTTAATAAATAATTTCAAAGATTTTTCCCTAGTTCTTACTATAGGCCTACTACAATAGCCTACTAGCTACAAGCTTTTTTTAATGTTACTCTTAGCTAAAACAACAACATTCCTTTTAGTTGTTCTTATTGTCAGGATCGGTTTTTAATAAATGAGTAGTAGAGATGAAGGGTAGACGGCTGCACTTTACTTTAGGTCCTACACTCATTCGAATGAAAATATCGATTATACGATTGTTTCATTTGATATATCGTTTGGTTAGTTAGACCTTACCTAACTAACCAAACGATATATCGAACGAAACAATCGATTAATTGATATTTTCATTCGAATGAGTGTAGGACCTAAAGTAAAGTGCAGCCGGGTAGACTTTCATAAGCAGGACTAAAAAAATGAAAAGAAATATCGATCGATATATTGATTATTCGATGGTAATTATTTACCCTATTTAGGCTACACTGGGATTTTATGTAATTTTTATATGTCTACTTACAGTATTTTTAACGCTGAATCCAAAAATCCAATCAGTTTTGGTCGGAGGGATTCCTAAATGGCCGTACAGTTATATAATTAATATTAAGCTTCAGTTTTGTTGATTTATTAACATATTTGTGGTATGGACGAGTCCAAAATCTAGTGGCGACTAAACTAAAAGGGGTGGAAGGTTTGTGGAGTGGAAACAGCTGTCAGTTGTTTACATTCTAGGCAGAGGATACGCGTCCGGTAACCGGACGTGGATTAGACGTCCGGCAATTACTGTCATAACCTAACCTAACCAACCAAACTTGCTGATAGTGAAAAAATCGAATTAAGGTGAAATTCTTTCTCTATAAAAAAAATTATAAATGCAAAAAATTCTAATAAAAGATGTACAGTTAAGAATAAATGGTATTCAATGCAAACTCTTCGACAAAAAGTTAATGTCTTCAATGGGATTCGAACCCTGGACCTCTTGCATATCAGCCGAGCACCTTATCCACTACACCACGAACACTGATGGCTGGTCATTGTATTGTTGTGGTAAAGGCGTTCCAGGCTCCCGCAACCCCATGACGTCATTGCCGTACGCCTTATCCACGTCCGGTTACCGGACGTGTATCCTCTATGTACATTCTATCCTAAACAGACAAAACCACAGACGACGCCATGAGAGCAAAATCAGAGTTACAATATGCAATAACTAGATAAAAAAGAAAATGCACTTTGGTGCTGTTTATAAAATACAATAAATCAACTAGCATACATAAACTATTAATCACATGAACATAAATTACAAAACAAAATAGAATTTATTCACGTAAAATATCAGTAATAGAAGCTAGGCCACTGCCGACATGATCATCGTCCTCATTCCAATCTTCAACCATTGACTAATGCCTCAACGTCTGGTAATGAACGTGCCACAGTGCATAATTTAATGTATCAGCAACTAATAAAAATGATGTTACATAATCTAATCTAATCCAACCTAACCCAACCCAACCTTAACATTAAAGTTTAAATCACATTTTATGTCAGAAAAGGCATGTGAGGAAGATAGGTCGGACTTTATGCGGATTCGTGACTGTATTAAGTCCTTTGAAGTGAGGTTAGATTAGGTAAGTTAAAGGTTAGGGTATAATGAACCGACTCATTAATTTATGCAACTTCCAGACTGTTTTTGCACAATTGAAATAGTGGGTGAAACACAATGAAATAACAATATCAAAAATTCGCCAGCATTTTTGATATTGTTATTAAATTCGTTAATTAGTTTTGTTGTTATTGTATCGTTATTTCATTGCGTTTCACCCACTATTTAATTGTGCAAAAACAGTCTGGAAGTTGCATAAATTAATGAGTCGGTTCATTATAACCTAACCTTTACCTTCCTAATCTAACCTCACTTCGAAACACTTATTACAGTCACGAATCCGCATAAAACCCGACCTACCTTCCTCACATGCCTAAATAAGAACTGATCATTTGGTTTCAAAACGAATTGATTTGATTTCATTCCGCATTAGATCAAGTATAAACAGTTGTTTGCTCTTCTCACTCAGTCCTTACTCCTCACTCTTCACTCAGTACGGACCCGTCCAGATTACCATTACCTTCAGTACCGCTAAATTTTCCTTGTTAGATTCGTACCCCTAACCTTCGTTTTACGGCCGCTACCGCCACTTAGGAATCTATCCGACCAAAACTGATTGCATTTTTGGATTTAGCGTTAAAAATACTGTAAGTAGACATATTAAAATTACATCATATCCCAGTGTAAATACGGTAAATATTTGCCTTCGATATAGGTTATCGATTATTTCATATAAGGTTAACTAACCAAACTTGTTGTTAAGCATTAAAATGTCTAAAACCAGTATTCAAGCATATGTCGCTAATCGCTATCAGGAGAGCGCCAATTTTAGTCAGCAGATGGCTATGATTTATTATTCCCTTCACCTCATTACTCTTATTAGGTAATAATCAGAAATTGGTAGGGGTACGACTAAGACATCAAATTTAATCAATTTGAGCCAAGCAATGTATGTATGTTTTGCCAAAAATGTTTAATGGGAGTTAAGTCAAAACAAATTTTATTTGTATACAGAAATTTTGGTATTATAGTGTTAAACAATCTTAACCTTTAAAAAACTTATTCTGTAAGAGAGCTAGTATTAGATGTTTTTTAAATGTAGTGAAAGTCTTCTGGTAAATTATTTGTGTGCTTTCGATAGAGGGTTAAGTCTATTGTTTACTTAAATACATTGTTTTCAGAAATGTTAAGGAACTTTGGGCAAATATGTGTAAGAGCATGTGGTCTGAGCACATGCTCTATAAGCAGAGGCCGGTATATTCCCAGAGACAAGTATACCCCTAAGCATGACGCTGGAATTCACCGTAGACTGAAACTCATAGCTGAAGACGAAGCTGATGTGTATGAAAAGAACGATATCGACCAACAAAGTATGTTAGAGTTAGAAGAAGACTTGACTCTTGCAGCAGATTTGAATGATGAGGTGATAAGGTAAGTTTATCTTCCAATGTATCCACACCCTCAAAAGAAAAATCCCGCTTTTCAGGTTGAGAGAATCCTGTTTTACTGAGATGAAAAATCTTGTTTTCCCACACAAATTTTGTACAAAATCTCAATCCTTCTAGAGTGGTCTTTTTGACGTATCATGTTAGAATAGCTCTTTTAAACCTTGCTAAGCATACTGCAATTATTTGTTTCATTGGGGATAGTTTTTATTGAAAAATCAGTAATAAAAAAAAATATTGGTCAAAGCCAAAAATCCTGTTTTATCCCTCATCCCCTATTTTAATCGTGCTCATAGTTTAAAAATCCCGCTTTCGGGATAAAAATCCTGCTTATGGAAACACTAATCTTCCTTAGACTACTATTTTTAGATCAACAATATTGATTGTGGCTTATTTTGGAGAAATGTATGGCTGTATTGTTTAGGCTACATAATTTAGTGTGGACAGTCTAAAATTTGTGATTTTAACCTAACCCTCTGTTTGTCCTACTTACAAGCAACAACCTTTTTGACCACCATTTTTTTTAATGTGCACACCGATCGCTATCCCCTCACTAATGGGCACCCCTTTCCCTAGCCCGATCACCCAGTGCTAAACGACCTTGACAAGGGCACCTTTTTGAGTTGTATCAATTCAAAAATCTGTGTGTATCACTTTGATACAGTGTGATTTATATTTAATAAGTCCCTGGTGTAGATTAACGTCCGCAATAGTGAGTACTACCACTATCCGCAGTACTATCCTGATAATTAGACCAACTCGTTAATTACAAGGAAAAAATGTTGTTTGGATTCCACTATAAACTGTAGGTCCCTTAGCAGCCATTAGCAGCTGTGTCTAAGGAACATGTCGGCCATAGTAACTAACAAGACTTCAAGATCGCGATACTCATCCTACACTCATTTTTCACTCATATTTGGGTTAAAATACATACATAGTGGTGTCCCCATCTTAATAATCGATAATTGATTTGTCTTTTGTATCAATTTGATTCAGTGCACCCATGGATGTTATGTTTTTTTTTTTAACATATCTAAACAAAGAAATATTATGATTGATTTAGGCACAGATAGTGATTGAGCAAATTAAAAACAAATAGTCTGACATTATTCCTGAACATTTGCCCTTATTATTTATACCTAGCTAAACTTATTGTTGTTTGTGTATCAAAATGATACAGTGTAACCGGGTTCCAGTTTTGTGAAAAATTACTAAAAAACCATTGTCCTACAAAACATTTTTGCGGTAAAGAATTAGATCCTTATTATAATATTCCAAATACAACGTAATTAGTCATAGAAAGAATATTTAAAAATATTATGGCAGTCAAACTAATCATTGCAAAAACATAAAAATGATAGGTAAATTTAACTGTATAAATTAGATACAGTGTTACTCTTCTGGTAATTATTTCGATGCCACTAGCGGTGGGTTAAAGGTTTATATTCAATGTTGGTTAATTCAAACAATCCAGAAACCAATACATCATGAAATTAACTTTTTAACATGACTTTTTGAGTTTACAGAATTTTGTACACCCTTTTAAGTGAGCTAATAAAAGCAAATTTGAGAAATCAACATTTTTTTAAACCCTCAACATGAGATAATATGTGCACTATGACATTAGATCTCATGACGATCCATCCAATTTAGTCTCACTTATAGGCTAATCTACCATCATTAAATGTGGGCTAGTATTAAATTTTAATTCTAAACCATACTAAACGATGAATTTCAAACAGAGCAGTTACTATTTTTTTATGCTAGGAATTCTTGCTCGTTTTAAAATTCAATTTAAACTTCTGTCTTATGTTTTGTTTCATCAAGTTTGCCTTGTAAAAGTGAAATGATTTTTACCAGTTTTTACCATATTTAAATAATGATATTTCAAGTATTGTGTATGTCAGTTTGTTAGGTATAGGCTATAAATAAATGTGTTTCTCACTGATTCTAGTGAGATGAAAAAAATTGCATGGGCAAAAAGGTTGAAAATGGCAGAGAGAAAGTACTTTAGGCCTCCAAAAGAACCTCAAATGCTTACTTGGACAGAAAAACAGCAAATAATACATCTTAACAGACAGGATCCACAAAAATGGTGCCCAGAAGTTTTGGCTGAAAGTTTTCCTGCATCACCCAGTATCATCAAGGTGAGTATAACTAGTAAGAACATGTTTGAAAGTTGAATTAAGTATTTAAGCTGCAAATCTTAATTTAATGGTGAATTTTTCAATTTTGTTCTTAAAAATTACATAATGTAGCCTACTGTCAAATTTTTTTGCCAGAGCCGAAATGTTTATTCAGGCCAAACAACATGATATTTAAACTTGTCACAAAAATCTAGTATAAATATAAAGCAAAGTAATTTAGTAATGGTTTTCTGTGTCATTCTTTTTCTGTCTGTCCTACTTAACCAATTTTTACAAATTAGGTGTCATTTTAAAGCTTATGATCTAGCAAAAGGACAAATTGGAATCCAAAAAGGTAATTTCGTTTAGGGCTTTGTCTCCTTAGTGTTTGATTTATTTTCTAGAGTTTACTTTTAAAGATCCATGGGTTATGGCCAACTTAATTCATAAGGGTTTTAAACGTGAATTGTACTTTTCAAAGGTAAGATATCTTTCAAAGGTAAAATGTTATTGCATTATTCGTTTTGCCTCTGCAAGAAGTTGTGAGAACTCTATTGAAATGTGCAATTTGAACAGGTTTTATTCTAAGGTCATATGGTCAAATTATGCCTTCAAATGTTAATGCCTCCAGCCTCCAATATAAACACTTAAGTTTGCCAAAATGATTAATCAATTGCATTTTTTTTTTTTAAGAGGTTGGCAGCCTCTTTTAACCTTGCATTTGCCTGTCCACATAGACTAACTTGCCCGTGCGTGGAACGTATCCAGCAAAGCAAGGGGTGAGCCGGTACAGTACAAAGGTGAACTGTACTGATAAAATGTTTTGGGCAGTGACCAGGATCCTCACGTAAGGCCATTACAAACTGTTAAGATGTTTTCTGTAATTTCAGAAAATACTAAAGGCAAACTGGAAACCACTTACCAAGGAGAGGTTAAAAGAACATGATCGTAAGGTTTCAGACAATTGGATAGCTTTTCACAAAGGAGAACTTACAGTGCATGACCCAAAATTAAAAGTACATCTTGAGAAGTTCAAGGACAGGAAAGACGGTGTCTCAATCATCTCTGATGAAGGTTAGTCAGTTTGTCAAAACAAACTATTTTAACACTTTGCCAAAAAAATATTTCACTTAGTCTAAAATGTGTTTCAATTTTTATCTTAGGCATATTACATTCTGACAGAACACATTTATAACAAAACTTGTTTACGTTTCTTAAATATTGTATTCCATGTAACTTAGGTATTCCATGTCTCGCTTCCTAAAAACAAAAATCCCTTACAGGTGAAATTAGGTAGTATGATTGTCAAAAACAAAAACTTTAATACCCAGCACAGTCACTAAATTGTTAACTGCTTGTAACGTAAACATTTCAGTGACAGTTTGTAGAAAGCATATGTTTTCTTAACGGATGATTTTTATTTGATAGATGACGTATCTCTCTCTTGTCTCCCTCCTACTTTGTTTTTAAACATTGTTTTTTTATTTACAATTGTTATGAAAAGAATCTTAGAGGTGATCTAGTTTCCACAGGGTTAAGACACATTAACAGACAGTTTGCCTCTGTAAAGATTGAAATTATTTTAACATTCATTGTATTTTAGATTAGGATCCTCTTACGACCAGTCTATATTTTTTAAGAAACAACGGTAATTCCTACCTTCTCAATGCACCCTTGGAAAATTGAATTTTCTTTTTTCAAAATTGTGTTCTTTTTTAACCAATGCTTTTTCGTAGTTAGTAATTTTTTCATTTTCCGACGCTTTTCTGGCCAAATCGTAAATATCCATCGTATTTTAAAAATTCTGGTTCAGTTCGCTCTACCAGTTAATTAGAGTATATGACCTATTCCCGAAAAAAAATGTAGCTTTCCGCTTTCTCAGGGTTTTCCTTCGTTTTGCGTGGAAAATAACTATCATTTTCAGAATCAATACGTTATTTCCTACATTTTGGAAAAAAAATTTAATTTTCTGCAGGTGCACTGAGAAAGTAAGAATTACCGAATAAAAGAAAACACTAATGCGTGTTGTGTTTATATAATAATTTAGACTAAGTTAATAAAATTTGGTTTAGGTTTGTACCTTTAATTTGCTTACTATTTATTATGCTAAGTTAAGCCTAGATTAAATACTTATAGCAAGACAAATGATTAATCTGAAGAATTTCTTAACAATACAAATTTAATGAACTAAAAATAAGATATTACAATGATGAATGGGGTAAATGAACAGATAACAGATAAGTTAAGTTATAGGGTTGCCATCTTTGGTTTAGCCTAGCTCAGTAAAAACAGAACAATGAGTTTACAATTTAGTTTAAATACATAAATCTCAGGGAGGGGAACTCGGCTGGCTAAAAAAATCTTCAAATATTTTAATTTATGAAATAAAATATGTCAATTATTATTAAAAATGGAATAATTTTGATATTGCTCTTAGGCTTGGATAGGTAAATTAAATAAGTCCAACAATGAATAGACTAGGTGAAAAATTTATCAAAGTTGAATTTAGTTCTCTTGTCAAATTGTTTTTCTGGGATTATTCTTGATGAAATAAAATAGTTTTTGAGTTCAAATAATTAGGTTTGATGATCAGAAAGTAAATAAAAAAGGTCTATTCAGTTGAATTTCTTGAAGGTAGGCTAAGCCTATACAAAATGGAGAGTTCTCACCAGATCTTCAGTAATAATGTCCAATTTATATAAATCTTGAGGTGGCAGTACAATTTTGAAATGAAAAAAAACGTATATATAGAGGCTAAACTGTTCTTTTGTTATTAGTTATTAAGTTAATTTTCAGTTAAATAATTTTGATCACTGACTTTATAAATATTAGGGATTATACCCTCACTTAATTTAAGGTGTTGATGCTGCCATGTCCCAATAGAGAAGGAGGAAAATTTTAATTTTACACAGGATGATCAGAGTTCATTGTTGAAGCCAGCTGTCTTCTTTCTTCATCACTTGCACATGCACTAAATATTCAGGCTTTTGGATATTAATTTAATGTTGGGGTTTTAGAAATAATTTATACTATATTAATAATTTTGGATAAAAGTGTTATTGCAACTATGAACTTAATTACAGGTTACAGTTTTTATTAATAATAATATGTGTTGAATATAAACAATATATTTTAAAATGTGATGATGGTTTCTGAGGGGTGATTAAAGGATAATATAATTTAAATTTACTATTAATTTTCTGACAATTTATTTAAATAGGCTATATGGCGAATTTTGGTACAATAAAAGAAGAATTATTATATAACTAAAGAATGAATGTAGTGAAAGGTCTAAAATGGACATGTAACATTGCAATTATCCCCTCAGAAATTTTTATCTGAGAACTCAAGGAAAAAAATTTTGATAAAATGTGAAATGTCATGATGATACAGAAGTATGAAATAAAACATCTTAAAGTTAGAATGATAAACATTAAATGATTGATTATCTTGGAAGTTGACTTATATCTATAGGGAAAACAAGTTTTTAAAAGAGAACAAAACATAAAAACATTTAAAAATTAAAACAAAACAAAAGATAATTACATTGTAGTAAATTGGGGAGTAAGGGTAATAGGTTTTCGAGCATAGAAAATAACATGTTTATCTTCTTGGGGATTTGGAGGATAGTATTAATATGGGATGGATGGGGTACGCACTCGCGATTAGTGTCCGATATCACAGTTTATTGGTAATCACTATGGATAGTAGGTCTCTTAAGATCCGAGTATTAGGCTAAATGACACTTTTTCCGTTTTTTGAAGTCAAAGTATTTTTTGTCGCCGTATTGTTCAGTTTCTTCAAAGTTCATACTGGCTTTCACTACACTGTGTTCAAAATTCTTCTTATGTTTACTGGGACTAGGAATTTCTCGAGGATCTTTGATTCTTTCGTTCGATTTTGGAAGGCCAAATGATGGTTCTGGCGTGGGTCGATTTTGATGGCAAATCATTATTATGGGGTTCGATTTAAGAGTGAGTTTACTTTGATTGATGTTTTCTAAGTCTTGAACTTTGCTATCATGGTTTAAGTCGTTCATCGGTATTTTTTGATCATTTTTGAGTTTTAGCTCTGATTGCTTTATGCTGACGTCTTGAGTTAGTGTCGTTGTAGTCTTGTTTAAGTCGGTTTCAAAGATATTCTGTGTTTGATTGTGATTTTTAATAGAGATTTCTTCAATATTAGCAGTGAACTTGTTTAGAAATTGTTCAGTAAAATTGTCAAACTTTGAATTAATTTCTTTCTGGAACTGTTCAATTTTATTACTCAGATCAGATTTAACTCCTCATATTTCATGGAATAAGCCCGTTAGAAGACTAATAATATCTGGGTTTGCCGTTTGATTTAGTTGTATAGTTTGGGAATTGCCTTTTACGCCATTATCAGTTGACATAATTGTGTTTTCATTATCCATTTTACGGTCTGTATTCTGTAATCTGTATTAAATGATGAATGAAGCGGGTTGTCTGCACTTTGGGAAGGTTGTTGAACGGTGCTGCTACTAGCGGCTACTTCAGTTACTACGGCCTCTTGTGTTGAATGGATGTGGAGTGGAGATGCCGGTGTCACGATCAAGATGGCTGCCGCCTTCTGTCACTTCACTGTGTTTGTGTTGTATCGTCGTCATCGTGTGTAAATAATGCTAATTCGGTGGAATGATTGTGTTTTGCATGCCTTCTATGTTATTGGGAGTTTCTTGCTTAATATTTGATATCGGTGGAATGTTTGTGTTGAGTTCAAATGCGTTAATGTTGCCTTCGTCATCTGAACTATTGAATGCAATGTCGTGTAGGTTATCAGAGTCCAATGTGTTTGGGTATTTTCTAGGCCGTCGGAAATTATATCTATGCTCTGTCATTTATCATTGGGGATGCTTATTGCAGGGAGGGATAACTTATTACTAACATAAAATGCTTATATTCAATATACTTAGATTAGGCTAGTTGCAATAACGAGATATTTGAAGACCTTTTGTAGCCAATACGTTGGACGCCATTAAAAGAAAACACTAATGCGTGTTGTGTTTATATAATAATTTAGACTAAGTTAATAAAATTTGGTTTAGGTTTGTACCTTTCATTTGCTTACTATTTATTATGCTAAGTTAAGCCTAGATTAAATACTTATAGCAAGACAAATGATTAATCTGAAGAATTTCTTAACAATACAAATTTAATGAACTAAAAATAAGATATTACAATGATGAATGGGGTAAATGAACAGATAACAGATAAGTTAAGTTATAGGGTTGCCATCTTTGGTTTAGCCTAGCTCAGTAAAAACAGAACAATGAGTTTACAATTTAGTTTAAATACATAAATCTCAGGGAGGGGAACTCGGCTGGCTAAAAAAATCTTCAAATATTTTAATTTATGAAATAAAATATGTCAATTATTATTAAAAATGGAATAATTTTGATATTGCTCTTAGGCTTGGATAGGTAAATTAAATAAGTCCAACAATGAATAGACTAGGTGAAAAATTTATCAAAGTTGAATTTAGTTCTCTTGTCAAATTGTTTTTCTGGGATTATTCTTGATGAAATAAAATAGTTTTTGAGTTCAAATAATTAGGTTTGATGATCAGAAAGTAAATAAAAAAGGTCTATTCAGTTGAATTTCTTGAAGGTAGGCTAAGCCTATACAAAATGGAGAGTTCTCACCAGATCTTCAGTAATAGTGTCCAATTTATATAAATCTTGAGGTGGCAGTACAATTTTGAAATGAAAAAAAATTTATATATAGAAGCTAAACTGTTCTTTTGTTATTAAGTTAATTTTCAGTTAAATAATTTTGATCACTGACTTTATAAATATTAGGGATTATACCCTCACTTAATTTAAGGTGTTGATGCTGCCATGTCCCAATAGAGAAGGAGGAAAATTTTAATTTTACACAGGATGATCAGAGTTCATTGTTGAAGCCAGCTGTCTTCTTTCTTCATCACTTGCACATGCACTAAATATTCAGGCTTTTGGATATTAATTTAATGTTGGGGTTTTAGAAATAATTTATACTATATTAATAATTTTGGATAAAAGTGTTATTGCAACTATGGACTTAATTACAGGTTACAGTTTTTATTAATAATAATATGTGTTGAATATAAACAATATATTTTAAAATGTGATGATGGTTTCTGAGGGGTGATTAAAGGATAATATAATTTAAATTTACTATTAATTTTCTGACAATTTATTTAAATAGGCTATATGGCGAATTTTGGTACAATAAAAGAAGAATTATTATATAACTAAAGAATGAATGTAGTGAAAGGTCTAAAATGGACATGTAACATTGCACGAAACAAGAAATTATAACCATTCAACTTATATGATGTATTTATTTATATTTGTTTCAGAGGCAGCTAAATCTGCAGATTTAACCTTACCAAAACCGAAAAAAACTGAGTTCTCATCTTTAGTAACAATTTTCAAGCCTAAGGCTGAAACAGAGGTTACTGAAATAGAAAATAAGCGGCTCGAGGAAAATATCCAACCTCCAAAACAAATAGGAGATATAAATCCAACAAATATAGTGGACAGATCAGGGGCATACTACACTCTGGATCAGTACAGAAGTAGGCTCAGTAACTTGTTGGATACAAAGTTGGAAGATCGCGACGTAATTAAAGCGATTGTAAGCAGTGGGAATAAAGACAAACCAGTGGAAAACTCTGCTTTTGAAAGTTACATAGCACCTTCAGAAAGATTCAAACCTAATGCTGTTGTGCGCCAAAAAGGTGCCAAAAGTCGGCTAAAACTACAGGATCCTGATAATATTCCTGGCAAAATCACCATACCTAAGGACCAATGGAAGCCTGGGTTAGTGTATAAAGTTAAAGACTGTTTTTATAATGACAAAGGATATTTTCTGTACAGAGTTCCAGGATTAAATGTTGATTAATTGTAAGTGAATAATTTTATATGCCCTGTATAGCCAGTGTACAAGGAAGAATGAGTATTTAGGGGGGAATGAACGATTGTTATTATAGGTATTAGATAGAAGGTGACCAATTTGGACTTAAATGGAGTTATTGAGGGGAAGGACATAACTGAGAGTCAAGAAAGCAGGGTGCAAAAATTTCCACACATGCCACTATCCTGTCATCCTACTTCCTACCTAGCAAATTTTTCGCTTCAGGTATCATTTTAAAGCTTATGATCCAGCACACTTGTGAATGGTAATTAAAAAGGTGATTCCCTTTAGACTGTTGCCCCCCCCCTCTCGTTTTATCTATTTACAGAGTCCATTTTCAAAGATCCACAACAGATTACACAGATTACACAAGATTTACAACGGTTTAAATATTGCAATAATACTCCAGTTGAATGTTTAACCAGTCAGGTAGTTGACAAGAGATAGACAAAAGAGTTTAAGAAAACGGATTTTACCTAAGACCGTTTTTTAAACTAGCCGTTTCAGTTCAGTTCTTAGAATTGAAAAGATTCAATTTACAGCATTACAACACGAATAACGGATCAATGAGGTTCTAGGATTGAGAGAAAAGAATAAAAATTGTAATAGGTACTTCAAAGGCCAACTTATCACTATTAAGACCAATTTATTTGATTAAACATTGAGTGAGTGTTTGGAACAGTAAGTTGTTGCATCACAATCAGTGGCTATGAGAGATTATAAACAAAAGCATAACCTCTCTTGAAAGTTATGAGTGGGGATTTTTAGTATTGCTTACTTGCGTAATTAGTCTTTACGACACTATTAGAAGTTTCAAAGGCACTCGCCGAGACTCCTACCTTAAATTTTATACTCGTGTCGTTCATTCATTTTTATCAATGTTTTTTTCCGATATAGGCTCATCAATATTTTATTTTTTGATCTGAAATATCGATATTGAAACATATCATCTGACAACTACGATAGATATTGTTCAGTATCAACATGCAATATAATAATTTCAGTTACAAAATGTTAATATGAAATTTACCATCAAACAAAAATTGTGCAATTGGATTTTTAAAATGTAAAGGTTTTGTACATTGTGATGTCAATGTACTAATGGTCATATGATATAATATTTTTATGAAGAAAAACCATTCTGGAAATGCAACGTACATGCAAAAACAAAGTAGGTCTATAGAGTTTGAAATTTGTAGCAGATTACAGTTTTACTATAGTTCGATTTATATATTTTTGGTGTGAAGAACATCAATAGACTTTTGTGCAAGGCAATAAGAAATTAAGAAGAGCACCGTACTAGATTGGAATAGTTACATAAGGGAAGTATGCGTTGATGCTGTGGAAAAAACCTTGGAATTAAGTTTTGAATCCTATAATACCCCCGCCGCAGCAAACCTGCCGACTAAGCGAATTTCCAGTTGCCTGAATAGATTTTCAATTAATTGTATTTAATAAACATTAATTTTAATGAGTACATAGGCTTGCTGCTACAGGGAGGGTAAAAAGTGTGTTTTATAGAGAAATATTAATAACTTAGTATAAAATAAATAAATTTACCAAGTTTGATCAAAATATATCCATAAACAAGCAGACTACAACATTTTACAATATTCCCCATAAGAATAACATGGGAATTTTAAAATAACAATTATTTGAATTTTCTCCGTAACTAATAATAGTACAAAAACACTTTGATATACTAAATTATTTGTTTTTTTAAGCTCTTTAAGAAGGTCTGAAGAGAAATTGGGAAATTTTTCGTTTGTAGGGTCAAAAATTAGAAAAACCCATTTTTACCCCATAAAACCCCGTTCCCATGGTCCGATCATGCTGGTTCGCGAACTCATTCAAGTTTATCCTGCCTTACACCTTCAAACCAAATGTCATCAAAATCGGATAAAAATTACTCAAGTTATCGTGTTCACGGACACACATATATATATATAAATCTATATATATATATATATATATATACATATATAAAAATTTGAACGAATGGTGTTTTTGGCCTCTGGGGACATCAAAATGAAAAAGTAAATCGGTCCCGCACCTAGGTCTTACCATGCCACCTACGGTAATAGCTACTTCCCTATAGGGAAATTCGCTAAAAAGGTGCAATTTGCACATTGGTCCCCTTGTATATATTATTTGAGGAGGACGTGTTCCTTTATATTTATTCACAAAGAAGTAAGCTACAGAGGAGTTTCGCCCATTAGCTCTGGTATGGTGGAGCGGATGTACTTGTACCGAGCAAGGAAGAGCCTGAACGGCAATGGTCACATTTTTTTACAGCAGTTGTAGTGCATAGGGTCTTCCTACTGTGTCAGCGCTGTAGTAAGTGAAGGCGAGGGGGGAAAGGAGAGCGGAAGAGGACAACGAATAGGATTTGCTCAAGACACCAGCGACTGGTGATAGGCACCACTTAGTCTGAGTGTATCATTGAATGTATCCTCTATATCTTAGTTCTCTGTCTTTTAGTTTTTTGTGCAGGATTGTAGAAGAATCACACTTGAACTAATTGTAACAATAATAAAGCAAGTGTTTAATCTCAATCAAAAAGGTATAAACATCTTGTTAAACAAGTTATCTAAATTAAACTCAAAAGTACAAATTCAACCAAGACAGTCTGCTTGGGATGTAAAACAAACAGTGATAAGCCTAATGTGTTTTAAAGAACAAAATTTACACATCTTTATTTGTTGTAAGATCACATAAACCAATCTTGTCTCCATTTTAGTTTAGCACACCACATTTCAACATAGTTTTCTCCTAGACCACACATGTTTTTTCACGGAGGGGAGATAGCCCCACTGAACACCAGGTCGACAGCTGCATGTAGGTTGCCCTGAGCCAGCTGTAAAGCTTGCAGATTGACAGCATCGTCTGTCAGGCCGAGCTCCCTCATCTGCTGCATTTGTTGCGCCAGCTGCGCTTGTCCCAGAGTCCCGGCGCCTCCCTCAGGAGCATCTGCCTCTGGCGCTGGTGTGCCAGGCTATGCAAACATGTGACAAATTATGAGTTTACTACATGAGTGCAAGCTGGTCTAGTGGTAGAGTGTGGGACTTTGGTTCCTGAGGTCAGTTCACAACACAATTAATTTGATATTTCACACTTACAAGAGGGCTTATTCAGAACTACTTCCTTCAGATAGTGTTTCCTTGTCGAGGCGACAACCTCTTTTCTTGAGTAGCCTAGTTAGTTGTGAATCCATCCTTCCTGTATACTGTAGAAGCCTAATATTCATGACCCAAGTGTTTTTCCTCTAAAAACCAAAAGAAGAGAATGTTTTAAAAAATCAAATCCAATAGGTCTACAGTTTATCCCAAACTGAGGTTAAAAATACATATCTAAACATCTATAATCCGAAAAAAACACCTCTAAAATTACTTGAAATAAAACCACATTTCTAACTTTTTTAACTCATGCTGAGGCAAATATCTCCTATTATTCCTGCAATTCTCCCCAAACAAACATCAATATAAACTGTTTTACCTGTCCCACAACACTGGCAATGGCCCTCTGCATAGCCTGGTTAAACATCTCCGAGGTGATTCCCCCTCCATCCTGAGACTGAAGAGCTCCAGGACTTGGGCCTGCAAGATAAATTGTTCATTTATCAATTGCCATTAGAATATTATGCACATTTTTTCCAAAAAAGAGGACAAGATTTAATAAGGATCTTTGTTATTTCAAACCAAGACAAATACTTTTTTAGTTTTAAGTCCATTATTTTTGGTTTAGTAAGATAATGTAATTGATTGTTGCATACATTTTGCAATCACGATTAGTAAACAAGTAATCACAATGTCTTGCTTGAACCACCATCTTGTGCGGACGTGCCAGTTTTTTTGTTTTGTTCTTGTTTTGACTACAACTGTTGTGGATTTACAGCTGTATGTGTTTGAGTATGTTGTTGTGTTTAAGATATTTTAACACCTGATGACGAAATGAGATTCCAGGCTCAGAAAATGTTGCAAGAAATTGTTTTTTTGCTTAACTTTATGGAATATCATCCTACAAATAATGTAGAGAAAATACACCCGACCACTCCATATAAGCCTCCATCTGCTGTTACAAATTATTTAAATTAATGCAGAATCATCCAACACTTAGCGGCAATATAACTCAAGCCCTTTGACTAAAAAAGTTAAATTCAAAAACTTGTATGCTGTCATTTCTTCTGATTCTGGTAAAACGTGTTCAATATATTGTCGTTAATTTATTTCCATCTTGTTTCATGTAACTATGGATTGTCTTCCTTGTTCGAGGCAAAATTCTGATCTACTCCGATTGCTGTGAAATTATGCTGACCTGGTATTTATCCAACCTCTACCTTAATCCCAAAATTAGGTCGGAAATTAATTTTGTCCTGTTCCGATCTATGGGATTGTTATAGTATCCTGATGACTTGCCATATTAAGGAGAACTTAAATTTTTATCAAAATAGCTTCAAGATAAACCTAAGGAATGCACTTACTGTTGGCGGATGCCAGGGCACTGGCCAGTTGGGCTGCAGTGATAGCGTGTCGGTTAGCAGGCTGGGAGTCAGATGACTGAAACATTGAAAATAGAACATGAAAAGTAAAGCGTTTTACACACCACCAAACTACTTTTCAACCACACAACCTTAATTCACGCCTGAAGCCAACTCTTTAACTTAATTTGATAGTCTTTAACCAAAACAAAAACAACTAGATTTTCACCTATTGGGTCTGATGATTATTGGAGTGTCCAATCAAAATCGATCAACACTACTAGTAAGTGTTAATATACATAGTTTCAAATGTTATTAGACATACTTTATTTACTTTTTGTGAAATTACTAACGTGTAGGCCTATTATGCTGATTAACATGCTGATTAACAAATTTTTGAAAAAATATTCACCACAATCTGTTTTAAAAAGTAACTTGGCTAACTTTCAAAAAATTACAAAAAAATCCAAACTGAACACTCACATTCCTTAAAACAGTGTAGCCACACTGTTTCAAACAAAAGGCCTGTTTTTTCAAATTTGTACCCATAGGGTTCTACCTGAGATGAGTCCATCTCCTCATCGTCGCTGAGCGCGTCCAGTGAGTATGAGTAGCCGGAGCTGGTGGTTGGCTGTGTAGTCGCAGAGGCTGTGATGGCCTCCTCGTGTACTGCCGCTGCGATGTGATTGGCCGCCTCCGCCAGAGCCGGGTGGAGTTCTACGATCCTTTGCAAATCATATGAAAAAATTAATATCAACAAAAAACATTGACGTCGGAATATATTTTCTATTATTAATTTTGTTTTTATTAAGTTTTTTTTCTTTTATTTTAAATGCATTTTGACACGTTATGTCAATACAATATGAAACCAAAAGAAAAACTAGGTGTCTTCTTCACTTGTGTAACAAAGAAGCAAAACAGTTGTTGTGTGCAATCATTAAAATCACTGCCATCCAAGCCGGACACAGTTTATTTCAAGTGGGCCCTACCACTTGCTAAGCCACACATTCGTAAGCTTAATATGGATTGCACATGTACGAGATTCAAATTCACAATTGTAGAAAGACCGAAATGTTACGCTCATCGGAGCAAAGCATTAGCCAACTTAGTAACCATGCCACCGTTGGCCGAACTGGACGAGTGCAATTTTAAAGATTATCAAAATTAGTCCTCCAAGTTTAGATTCAACGGACTATGTGATTCAGTGTCGATGGGGGAGCTGCTAGGGATAAGTTATAGTGTAGAGTATAGTAAGATATCTTGTTTGGCTTTGTAACTGGCTAAAATCAGCTGCTTCTCAGCCAAGAACAGCTGGGTTCAGTTTCAAAAGATCAAAAAGATACTTATTTTTCGGGGACAAATCGAGAACCTTTGTATTGTTAGCAACATTACCTGCGGACAGTGTCGATGTCACCCATACGGACTAGGAGCTCGGAGTCTTGTATCATGGAGATGGCTACAGGGTCTTGGCTGAGACCTGGCGTGATCTGTACGATGTTGTCTAGTATGTCCGGGCGACTCAGTTTCTAGACAAAGTCCAAAAAAGGTTAGTTTTTGTAGATTCTGTAATAAATGTAGTAGGTACCAGTACACTATTCTTTATCTCTGTAAGTAAAATTTAACCAAGAATGGCCTTAATACCTTCAACTACACATAGGTACCCAAAGAATCACAGTCCCCTAAACTTTTAGTAAGCGAGAGTTGACTACTGAACTGTGCATGGAATGATAACACTTCTTTATGCAATAATATGGTTAAATACTGGATACTTGTAGGAGCAAAATTTCATATACCATATTCCTATATTTCTACATGTACAGGGGTGGTTAAAAGTCTACAAGACGGCTTAATATTTTTTTAACCATTACAGATACAAGTTGGTACCCTGTTGCTACTAGCCATAAAACACTATTTTACTATAACTTCAATGTGGGACGGCCCACAAGGAGTCGAAAGCAAATCTGAAATAGAAGCGTAGGTTGATATGCTCATTGGTCAGTATTCGACATGTCCAGTCACCTGTTTCCAGACATGCACTTTGTCGAGCAGTTTTGTGATAACACGGCCTCACGTGATTGGTCAGATTTTCAAATATTGAAGAGTGGGAGAGACGCTATGATATTTGTAACGACTAAATCCAGTTCCGCTTATGTCTTCACCGTGGCAACTCCCGTGTACTCGCGGTTAATATTGCATTACGCATTTCTTGCACGTGGTCTCTTTACCAGTGTTTTATAATTTACCCTCGTTCCCGCTTTATTCAGCGTCCGTCTGACAAAGTGTTTTATCATCCAGTTCACCGCACTATTCTCAATTTAAATACCTCAAGACGCCAGTTTTTATAAGCTATTTCTCACTTTTCATGTTAAATTTCATGTTATTTCAAGAAACATCAAGCTCCAGTTTAAAGTCTTAAATCATTTTTACTTTGCATTTCAATTTGCTAATTTTAAGATTTATTATTTTTGTGCAAGGCATAAAGAACAGTGCCAAGTGTAAATATTTTTATTTTCATTTTTAATTCAAATATCACACGAATAAAGTGGTAAAACCTCAAGAGGAAGTGATGTTTTATTTAATTTTAAATGCTAGAGAATAGCTTTTTTACTCCTTAATGCTTATCTACATCAACTCTGCACATCATCATCTCTACATACGACCAACATCCTCTCATCGTCCCCTACAGAAGGCGCCTTCTTCCCCCAGCAGTGAGGCCCTAACTCCCCTATGCTGCCATCTCTCTCATCGACAGGATCTTCACACCTCTACGACTGCACTTCTTCAGCTTCAATAACACCTACACTCAGTAAAATTGGAAATCAGGTACTCTCAGCGTTTCATTATAATATATTTTATTCATGTCACAAGAGTGTTTTAAATGTTTGTTTTCTTTACAGGACTTTCACTTTTTAATATCTTTGAAAAATCCTAATTCCAGCATTTATGCTGTAGTAGTCAAGCGCTGTACAGTTAACATAGCCCGCACCTTGCGTCACTATTTCAAAATTTAAGATGGTCTCTGCTCTTATAAATTGGAAGTACGCAAAGTACCGTTCATCTTGGTCCTTCGAGCCGGATCTTGGGTTTATCAGTGCTAAATAAAAGCAAAACCTTGTCTTTGACCCTTCAAGAAAGTGTTTAAAACTCTTGTGAAGCTTATTTACTGACAAACTCTCTCAAACTGTTTTTTAGTTAAATTCAATACCTGATTTTCCAGCAAGAACTAAAACTAAGAATGAGATAGTATGAAGATTATAATATAATAACTTTTCTGTTTACAAAAGGCAAAATCAAGCTTTGTTACATAACTCAAATCAATTGATTTTTTACTTTTGTAGCTATTTTATTTTGTTAGCTAGCAGTGTTCACATTTCAATTAATTATACTGTAAAAGCTAATCATGAAGTTCGTAACTTTTAAACGACAGTCTACATTAATTAAAAATAGACTTCAAAAGTTATTGGAGCATGCAACTACTCTCTCTGAACTAAACCCATTTGAAGAAAAACATAAACAAAGGGCGTTATCTCTCAACGAGGATACTTCTGCAAAACAAGTTGAATACAATAAGATACGGGATAATGTACTTAATACTCCTGGTTCCACCACAGATGCTGAGGAAACCGAACTTTCAAGTATTGACTTTACTATAAGTGATTTATTTCTTGATATTTTAACTATTTTAAGGCCACTTCTCCCTCAAAGTGCTGAGGAAAGCTTTAGTGAACATAATACAACCTCAAATTCGTTGAATCCAAACCAATCTAATGTCAGGCTTCCCAAGATACAGTTAAAAACATTTTCTGGTGACATATCTCAATGGATAGCCTTTAATAATGTTTTTGAGGTGACTGTACATAGGAATAAATCGCTCACAAACATTGAAAAATTCCAATATCTTTTGTCTTGTCTCTCAAGCGAGCCTTTTAATTTAATTAAGGCTCTTCCTCTCACTAATGACAATTATGACATCGCGTATGACACGCTAGTTAAGCGGTATCACAATCCTAGGATCTTAAAGTCGCTTCACATAAATCATATCATTGATATGCCTAATTGCACTGACACACGTTCTAATCAATTAAGGCATTTTATCTCTCAATTTAATGAGCACAGCTCCGCTCTAGCCAGTCTGAATGTAAACATACATGATGATAATCCAGTTCTCATGACTTTGTTGTTGCGTAAATTTGACATAAAAATACGCACTAGTTTTGAAACTAAACGTCAAAACTCCCAGGAACTTCCCACGCCTAAGGAATTTATTGAATTTCTCAAAAGTGAATGTGCTTTTATGGAAAATGCTCATTTAATTCATTCGCAGAATGTGCGTCACAATGCACAAAATGTCAGCAATGTAAAGCCGAAACCTGGGTTTTCCCGCATTAAAGATGTATCTCTCACCACTCATAACACAAATAACAATATATTGTGTTCATTCTGTAGTCACAATCATGTGATCTATTCCTGCAATGATTTTGCTAGGCTAAGTCCTTCAGAGCGATATAATTTTGTTAAGTCGCATGACTTATGTGTTAACTGCTTAGGTAAGCATAAATTCAACGAATGTGCCAGCAAGAGTACTTGTCGTACTTGTAATAAAAGACACCATACGCTTTTACATTTAAATGTAGCCAGGTCTAATAACACAGTTCCATCAAACAGTAGACAGACTGTAGCAATCTACAAAGATAACGAAGCGGACAGTATTCGCAAAGCTAGGAATAAAACCAGTTCCGGCTTCCCCCCTCACCCCTCTCCACTATCAGCTGACGGCAACAATGACTCGCAGACCGTCTGCACCGCAAATAGTAACAATGAATTGTTTACTACACTTTTGGGCACTGCGCTCGTGAAACTGACTTCTACTGAAGGAAACACAATGGTTGTTAGAGCACTTGTGGACAGTGCTTCCACTTGTACATTTATTAACACGGACATTGTGAATAAATTGCAGCTAAAGCTAAAGCATTCTAAACAATCCTGCCAAGTAAATGGTATTTCCGCTACTCCTGTTAGCACCAAAGGTGTAACAAATGTAAATATTCTCACGCTTGATAACAAACAAGTTTCTACTAACCATCCAGTGTTAGTTTTGAGTAAGATAACCTCAGACATGCCTTCAGCACTTATTAACGACAATGTTATTAAAAGTGTGGCTAATTTCAAACTCGCTGACCCTCACTTCTATAAGAGCGGTCCTATTCAAATGCTCATTGGAGCTGACCTTTTCATGGAAATAATAAAGCTGAATAAATATAGCTTAGGTGAGAACATGCCTCATGCTCTGGACACTGAATTTGGTTTTATTGTTTTCGGCAAAACTCCTGTAGCCACGGACTGTAAAAACACGCTAGCTGTTAATCACATTATACTTCATTGCCTGCAAGAGGATAATTTAAGTAAATTGATTTCTAATTTTTGGTCTTTGGAACAGCCTCCCGCACCCTCTAAACTCACAGAGGAAGATATTAAATGTGAACAACACTTTTCTGAAACTTACTGCCGCAACCCTGAGACAGGAAAATATTCTGTCAAACTTCCGTTCAAGGAAAATCCCGCAAAGTTAGGGGACTCATCTTTCAATGCTAAAAGGCGTTTTTTATCGCTTGAGCGTAAACTTAATACTCAACCTGAGTTTAAGCAATTGTATTCTGATTTTATGAGTGATTATGATAGTACAGGCCACATGTCATTGTTTACAGATTCTATTCCTGACAAGCCGCATTATTTTTTACCGCACCACGGTGTTTTTAAAGCTTCCAGTTCCAGTACTCGCTTAAGAGTGGTTTTTGATGCAAGTGCAAAAACAACGACTGGTTTATCACTTAATGACGTTATTCATGTAGGCCCAAAACTGCATAATGACATAGCTACAATTATAACGAATTTCAGGCGTTATAAATATGTATTCACTACTGATGTAAAACAGATGTTTCGTTCAATCGAACTCGACAAGGACGACCGCCGTTATCAGTTTATCTATTGGAGAGACGATCCACAAAAGAAGCTTTCTATTTATCAGCTAAATACTGTCACCTACGGTATGTCAAGTAGTCCCTACTTAGCTAATAGGGTAATTTTACAATTAACTCAGGATGAGGAAGTTAATTTCCCTGCCTCTTCTCAGGTTTTAAGGAATCACATTTATGTAGATGACGTCGCCCTCGGCGCTGACACAATAGAAGATGCCTTGCTCCTTCAAAATGATATAAAATCAATTCTCGCTAAAGGTGGTTTTCAATTACGAAAATGGACAGCAAATCATGATGCTCTACTCAAGGACATTCCAAGCGAGTTTCATGAAAAACCTGTAGTTTTTCGCACTCCAGACCAACCACTGATTAGCATCTTAGGATTACAGTGGATTTCAAGCTCTGATTGTTTTACTTATAAAATAAATATTTCCCAGTCTGAAACGTATACAAAACGAATTGTGTTATCTGACATTGCAAAGATATTTGACCCGTGCGGATTCTTATCTCCTGTGGTGATATGGGCAAAAATATTTATCCAAACATTGTGGACAAGAGGACTTCAATGGGACACCCCCCTCCCCTCAGACCTATTGCGGCAATGGAAGTTGTTTACAGAACAGTTATATTTACTTGAAAATATAATGTTGCCTCGACATTTTAGAATGTCCAATTCAAGTGACATACAATTGCACGGGTTTTGTGATGCCAGTGAGCTTGCTTTCTCAGCCTGTGTTTATTTACGTGTTACTGACTCCGACCATAACACGCATATTTCACTAATTGTCGCCAAAACCAGAGTAGCGCCTCTTAAGCGTATTTCTCTTCCCAGACTCGAATTGTGCGGGGCGCATTTACTCGCCCAATTAATGCATTTTTGTTCAAATAATTTCTTATCCAAACAAGTGCCACTTACTTCCATTCACGCCTGGACGGATTCTACTGTAACTTTAAATTGGATTTGTACCCAACCATACAAGTTAAAAACGTATGTAGCCAATAGAGTATCTCAAATACAAGAATGGATTCCCGCTACAGCTTGGTCACACGTCTCATCTAACCAGAACCCAGCTGATTGTGCTTCTCGCGGAATATTTCCGCAGGATATTATTTCTCACAAACTCTGGTGGTCAGGACCGCAATGGCTCTTATCAGATCAAGATAACTGGCCTAAAACTCTGAATAAAGAAATCGATCCCTCAGAAATTCCTGAGCTCAAAATAACACATAACAATACACTTGTTACTTCCTTACATTGTAAACTTGACCAAGATTTTTTGTCTAAATATTCCTCCTGGAGTAAACTTGTGCGTGTAATCGCCTTTGTTCTTCGCTTTATACACAATGCACGACATCCAGCTTCCAAACTAAGCGAAAATCTATCTTCATATGAGCTTCAAAATTCTGTAATTAAAATATGCAGAATAGTTCAAATCAATGATCTTAACTCTGAAATTGAAAGTTTAAAGAACAATAAAATGTGTTCTAACAAACTGAAACATCTCTCGCCTTTCATAGATGAAAGTGATTTGATAAGAGTGGGAGGTAGGCTTAAAAACGCAAAAATAAGCTCTAACGCCAAACACCCGATTCTACTTCCTAAATCTCATAAGATTTCTTCATTGATAGTGGATTATTTTCACTTAAAATACCTACACGCTGGACCTCAGCTTCTTCAGTCACTCATCTCTCAACACTACTGGATATTAGCAGCTAGGAGTTTAATTCGTTCTCGAGTACATAAATGCCTAATTTGCTTCCGCCACAAGCCGAGAACTATTTGTCCTCTCATGGGAAACCTACCTGAAGCCCGAGTTAACCCTTCGTTTTGCTTCAAAACATCTGGATTAGACTTCGCGGGACCGTTTGAAGTAAAAATTCACACCTTACGAAGAGCCCAGATTGTAAAATGCTACATATGTTTATTTGTATGCTTCGCCACTAAGGCAATTCATATCGAGGTAGTCTCAGATTTATCTACGGATACATTCATCGCTGCGCTCACACGCTTTATCTCTAGAAGAGGCGTACCAAGTGATTTGTACCTTGATAACGCTACAAACTTCGTAGGAGCTTCCAATCATCTCAACAAAGTTATAAAAACTTTAATTCAAAATGAATCGACTAAGAGCAAGTTACACGACCTGTCTTCTGAGTATTCTATAAAATTTCATTTTATCCCCCCTTCAGCCCCGCATCAAGGTGGTATTTGGGAGAGTGGTGTGAAGAGTATGAAAACACACCTAAAAAAGGTTATTGGTAACAGAATATTAACACAGGAAGAATTTCAAACTGTGTGTACTCGCATCGAAGCGATACTTAACTCGAGGCCGCTTTGTCCCTTATCAACCGACCCATCTGAGATAGAGGTGTTGACACCTGGGCACTTCCTTATCGGCCGACCAATGGTTGCTCTGCCGGAATTAAATTATGAAGAATTGCCTTTAAACCGTCTGAAAAGGTGGCAAGCAGTGCAATCTATTACTCAGCAGCTCTGGAAGCGGTGGAAAATAGAATATCTGCACACTCTTCAGCAAAGAGCTAAATGGGTTACTCATCACCCCAACCTCGAAATCAACGATTTGGTGTTACTCCACGGCAACTCACCTCCTCAGTCTTGGCCGCTAGGAAGGATAATCGCTACTCATCCCGGCACTGACGGTGTGACTAGAGTCGTCACTGTGCGGACCAGCAACGGAGTCTTCAAACGTCCGGTTGTAAAGGTGTCACCTTTACCCAAATGAAGAACAGTTCTCTCAAAATAAATTTATCTAGTTTCAAAGAAGTGATCACATTTTATTTTTGACAGTTTTAAATTTTGTTTGTCATCAAATTGGAGCTTTAACAAACTTTAACTCATTTTTTTTTTGCGAATCTCTGTGCGATTCACGGGGCCCGGTATGGTCAGTATTCGACATGTCCAGTCACCTGTTTCCAGACATGCACTTTGTCGAGCAGTTTTGTGATAACACGGCCTCACGTGATTGGTCAGATTTTCAAATATTGAAGAGTGGGAGAGACGCTATGATATTTGTAACGACTAAATCCAGTTCCGCTTATGTCTTCACCGTGGCAACTCCCGTGTACTCGCGGTTAATATTGCATTACGCATTTCTTGCACGTGGTCTCTTTACCAGTGTTTTATAATTTACCCTCGTTCCCGCTTTATTCAGCGTCCGTCTGACAAAGTGTTTTATCATCCAGTTCACCGCACTATTCTCAATTTAAATACCTCAAGACGCCAGTTTTTATAAGCTATTTCTCACTTTTCATGTTAAATTTCATGTTATTTCAAGAAACATCAAGCTCCAGTTTAAAGTCTTAAATCATTTTTACTTTGCATTTCAATTTGCTAATTTTAAGATTTATTATTTTTGTGCAAGGCATAAAGAACAGTGCCAAGTGTAAATATTTTTATTTTCATTTTTAATTCAAATATCACACGAATAAAGTGGTAAAACCTCAAGAGGAAGTGATGTTTTATTTAATTTTAAATGCTAGAGAATAGCTTTTTTACTCCTTAATGTTTATCTACATCAACTCTGCACATCATCATCTCTACATACGACCAACATCCTCTCATCGTCCCCTACAGAAGGCGCCTTCTTCCCCCAGCAGTGAGGCCCTAACTCCCCTATGCTGCCATCTCTCTCATCGACAGGATCTTCACACCTCTACGACTGCACTTCTTCAGCTTCAATAACACCTACACTCAGTAAAATTGGAAATCAGGTACTCTCAGCGTTTCATTATAATATATTTTATTCATGTCACAAGAGTGTTTTAAATGTTTGATTTCTTTACAGGACTTTCACTTTTTAATATCTTTCTAAAATCCTAATTCCAGCATTTATGCTGTAGTAGTCAAGCGCTGTACAGTTAACATAGCCCGCACCTTGTGTCACTATTTCAAAATTTAAGATGGTCTCTGCTCTTATAAATTGGAAGTACGCAAAGTACCGTTCACACCGTTCACAAATTAAAAGTCTTTTTTAGTAGAATAGAATGCTGCAAATCTGAACTCAAACAAACAACCATTACAGCTATTCAAAGATGCATTGAATTTGCATCGTTATTATACGCTACCTCCTCGGGGCTGGAAGTTGGAAGAAAATCATAAACGTATGCATAGGTCGATATGCATATCAAATTAAAGGTCATAATTATTAGAATACAATACCACACATTTAGGCTCAAAAGAAAGACTGAGTAAAAAATGGCAGCCGTTCAAAGATTCAAAATGGCAGATTCAAGATATCTTTGAACAGCTGCCAATTTTGACAAGGTTGTTCGTTTAAGTTCAAATTTGCAGCATTTTTTTATCCTACTAATAAAAACCTTTAATTTTATGTGCATATCAACCTATGCTTCTATTTTAGATTTTCTTCCGACTCCTTGTAGGCTGTCCTCCTGAAGTGTTAGCGGCTCGTTAAAAATTGTGATTAATTTATTTTAATGATGAGTTGTAGTGAAATGGTGTTTTATGCCCAGTAACAGTGTACCAACTTGTATAGCTCCATCTGTAACGGTTAACAAAATATTAAGCCGTCCCAGGACTTTTCACCACCCCTGTATAAATCCATCAAAACAAACTGTCTTCTATGGAGAAATTTATTTAAAAACATACTTCTCTTTTCTGTAGACTGCATTATTATGTTTTGATGGGATTTTTTTAGTTTAAAATTGCCTAGGACCTAAGCACAAACCATCTCTGCATAGCATACATAATGTATGGTAAACATCAAATCTTATCTTTACCTGAAGCGAGCTCCTGTAGGATGGGTTCATTGTTAAAGCTCTGAAGGCCATGACCAAATTTTGTATGTCAACTTCTGACATTGTTTGAGTTGGTTTAGGAAGTTCTGAAAGTTGTTGACAGCAAAATTAATAAAACTCAACCAAACAAACACTACTTAAAACATTACTCAACCTAATCACTATGATCTTCATCCCAAAACAAATATTTTTACATTAATGCAACACAAACCCCACTGATAACTTAACATGTAGGCCTAAGTAACTGAAGTTTAATTTAAGGTAGGCTATACACTGCCATGTTTCGAATATATTTATGTGTTGAAAGCATTTACAGTTTGAGTGCAGTAGTTTTTTTCTGTCCTAGGACGCAAAGCACAAGTCCAGAATTCTTTTTTATCACATTACTTCACTTTAGGCTAGGCCTAGGGGTTGCGGCATTATCACGCAAATAAAATCCATTGGTGATGTGGCGAGATTTGAAAACAGGACCTCAGAGACCAAAGTCCTGTTTTTATTAACATAAAACTGTTTTTATTAGCCTAACATAAAACTTGTTTTTATTAACATTTAAATGGAACTGTTGAAAAAACTGCCTAGCCAGCTGTTACGGCAATTAGTATACATATTCAGGCCAGTGACGTAATTGTTTATTTTTATGATTTAAGCTGTTTATTTTCCAATATACATGTAACATTCTGTTCCTATTGATATTACTATTTATATGATGGGGTCATACAAACTTAATCCAATTCATCCAGCTAGATCTACACCTTTATGTCAAATTTAATCAAAGTCAGACCAAAATTGCTTGAGTAATCACGTTCACATATACATAAAAACATATATAGCCTAAATGAAAACAGCATCTGTTCAATTTCATATACTGTACTACATTTGCATGTAGGCTATATGAATATACATGTATATGAAATCGAACTGATGGTGTTTTTAGGCCTCTGGGGACATCGAAATGAAACAGTAAATTGGACCCAGGTCTAGGTCTTACCATTCCCCCTGCAGTAATTGTCCTGTAGGAAAATTTGCTAATAAGCTGCAAGATATTGTTGTTAACTTAAGATTTACATCAAATTGATTTCACATTCAGCTACCAAATTCATTAAGCAATTTTTTATGTGTGTTTATTTATAATTTGAAATGAAAGTGTGCTGCTGCCACTTTATTATATAACTCTTTCCAATTTAAAATGGCTATTCATAACTTAGTTTACTTATTTATTTATTTATTTTTACGGCAAACACCATTTTTACAATCGTTTTACATTGTGATACATGCGACAAGATGCTTATTACATGCTGATAAATGTTGTACAGATACATCAGTGATACATGCAAAGATTAAAATGAAAATATGAAAAACGTGTTCAATGAAAATGACATGCAGTTGTCATAACAAGTGAAGAGTGAAAGTTGAATTAATTAGGTAATCATAATAATTAAGTAACATGCTCAGCGAATAACAGACTACCAACTATAGATAACAGACTACCAACTATAGATAACAATAACAAATAAAATATATAGCATGCTTGGCGATAAATAATCTATAACTAGGTAACAATAATAATTGGCAACAATACTGGCGATGCTGATAGATGCAATACGGAAACGAGTAATAGTGATAACAATATAACAGACTAGAAATAGATAACAGTGATAATGAATGAAGTAGGCAACACTGATGAACTTTACGTTGAATTGATCTTTCTGGTTTAAAAAGTAAAAACTGACAAATCAAAAGGAAATAGTTATCCTACCCATCAGCATATCCTAGCAAGACCAAACATCAAACCACAGACAAAAATTGGCACATCCACAGAAATTATAGTGATCTACTAGAAAGTATGGTATGTATTAAAATGGGTAGTTAGTCAACTTTTAACCAACAAGTAGGCTAATTAAAAATGTAATTTTTATTTACCTTTTGCCTTTTTCTTTAATACATGGATCATAACACCGGACTTTATTCCACAAGCATGTAAAGTGGAGTCGTCATCAAGAATGTTCCCACAGTAAACTAGTTCTGGAATCAAAAATATTTCAAAATCATAAGCATGCAATGGGTTTTTAATGAAAATATTTTATACATTGTAGGCTTATTGCAAGGTAGGCCTAAGCAATTACAGACACAATTAAAATGTTTGATGATAAGACGCAAAGTTTTAATACTAGGCCAATCTTACAAGACAATAAGTATTTAGCCTATTTATTGTAGTTGTCAGCTAATATGTTTCAATTCATTAATATCGATATATCGGATCGTAATTTAAAAATATCGATATAATTTAAGTTAGGCTATCAAGAAAAAAATCATCGATAATAATGAATATTCCCTTTAAACAGGAAAGTAGCCTACTGACTTTTCTTATCTGTAGTCAAATGGGATTTTAAAATGTTATAGAAGTTACATTATGTTGAGTTAGGTTTGGTTGGAACAGTTTTAATTTACCTTAATGTAAATCAGTACCTACTAAGTTTGTTTTAACATGTCGTCTGTTGTGGTTAAAGTGTAAGTGTTTGATTTGCATCATATCAGAGCTTTGGGGTACGGTTTCTTAACTGGGATACGCTAATAACTTATCGATTGAAAATATAGATTCGATTAGTACATTCATTCATTTTTTTAACTAGGTAACGTAGGTCATTTTTGAACCTATATCAATTATAAAATGAAACTGTTATATAACCTAATCAAACTTGCTGATAGTAAAATAGTAGGCTTAATAAGCCTAGACTACTATTTACACCAAAATACTACAGTATTTGTATTTATAAGACAAAACATTACATCATTTACTAAACAGTAGTCTACCTATATAAAATAGTATACAATATATGAACCCCAGCTTTGCTCAAAACAGACCTTACCCTCTTCAAGTATTAGTCACCGCACAAACTTGGACTTGCCCTAACCACCACCATAAGTGAACTTGGTGAATGTAACTTGAAAACGTAGCCTTTGATTTTATTTTTCGGCCATTTAAGTAAACACTTTCCAACAAAACTTATTGCATTCTCGGATTCAGTGTGAAAAAAACTGTAAGTATACGTAGGCCTACAAAAGCTACATTTTTTATTGGTGAACTCTTAGCCTAATTCCACTTTTACCAGTAACCCACTAACTTAAGTTACACCCTAAGAGGGTCCCTCCCTAATCCTTAGCACCTCTTACAACTGAATTGTAATCCTCAAAACTGGATACTGGATAGCAATTACTGAACCATACTTAGAAGGCGGTTTTCATCTAACAACGTGGTAAATTTAGTTTACCATCCCCATCAGAACACCCCATCACATATCAAAGTAACTTGACGCAATGTTGAGTAGGTACACCTCCTGAACCCCATAAAGCCCCAAATTACATGGACTCACTAAACACTTTACAGAATTTTAGACAAATTCAATGCCATCCTAGGATTAGAATAAATTAACTTAAACGCAGAGGATACGCGTCCGGTAACCGAACATGGATTAGGCGTCCTGCAGTTACGTCACCGAGTTGTGGGGGCCCGGAACACCACTACCTCAACGATACGATGAACATTCATCGGTGTTTGTGGTGTGGATAGAGTACCCGGCTGATGTACAAGAGGAGTCTCGATCGAATCCCATCGGTGACACTAACTTTTTGTCAAAGATTTTGCTTAGAAGGCCATTTCTTCTTAACTGTATATATTTCGTTATAATTGCAGGCATTTATAATTTTATTTTATGAGCAGAATCTAACCTTCATTCGATTTTTTCTATTTATCAACAAGTTTGTTTACAGTAGTTATGTAGGTTAGGTTATGACAGTAACTGCCGGATCCCTAATCCACGTCCGCTGCCTAAATTAAAATGATAAAATATTGTTTTAGTATTCCTAGAACTTACCTAAACTCTCTTTAGGGAGGTTGGCCTTTTCTGATACATCTATTTTAAATTTTTCAACTTTAGTTTGGAGGTCCACTTCATCCACCTTAACTCTTTGAAAATCAAACAGAGATAACCGTATTCCCAAAACAACATTTGCCATATTTCCTAAATATGCCTGTTTCACTGGAAGTGAACGTGTTTTATTTTTCTACCTTTTTCCTAGTTCAGGGAATGCAATAAGTTAAAGTTTTGTTTGAAGTAAAAATTAAAACGTCTTGTATTTGTTGTTGTGTTAATGTATTAAGAAATGTTTGATATTTTTAGCAATGAAAATAGAACTAGATACACTTAACCTTGACGACAGCACTGTTTTTGTTTTGATAAAACTAACGATAAAAAGATAGATGAGATGAAGTATGATAAATACAAAATACAATACTACTGTGATTGAAAAATTGTTGACAGTGACAGTCTGACACTGACAGTCGACAGTCTAGAAGACAATCCACAATCATCTAATTATTTTTGACTTGCAATTGTATGAAAAAGAAAACAGGCTCTAATGACAGCCATGGAGCCACGCGTCTTGCTAGGAATGCTAGGAGTTTCCTAGCAAGTCGCATGGCTCCATGACTGTGACAGGTAGACAAATTGGGTTTCATCGTTTCATCATGGTTTCATTGTACAAATACAAAAGCAGTATAGTATATATATATATTGTAGCATAGATAAAATGGATAAAACCATAGATAAAAACCATACTCCCTTAGTCGATTTCTTATCCTTATCTTAGACAAAAATAATTAATTATTTTTGTCTATGTCCTTATGGAACAGCTGAAGCAAATGTTATCGTTAGTTCTGTCCGGTGTACTGTAGAGGCCTTTTTTTTACAATTTGTTTCTTGTTATTTCAGTAATTAGAAACCCTGTTTAGTCAAATAAACTATATAATCATAAACAATAACTCATCCTCTAGTTACATAACCAAACAGTAAAGCACAAATCATGGAATTAACTCTAAAATAATCAAACGAAATTTCGTCGGCACTAGCAACCAGTGTCACCGGACATGGACTAGACACGAAAAACGAGCTTCAAAATTTACTATGGGTTGGAAGTCTACTTGTTTTAGTTAGTCTATTGTTTTATAAGGAGACTTCCCATCCCATTGTAAATTCTGAAGCTCGTTTTTCGTGTCTAGTTCATGCGCCTAATTAGTAATTTCATAATTTGTGCTTTATTGATAGTTATAATTATATACCTTGAGGATGAGTTAATGCTTATGATTATAGTTTTAAGCGAATTTCCCATATAGGGAATAAGCTATTACCGTAGTACTCATGGTAAGACCTGGACCTAGGACTGATTTTCTTTTTCGTTTTAAGGTCTCCAGAGGCCAAAAACACCCTCCGTTCAAATTCATAAACAATACATTTATACATATGTGTGTGTCCGTTAGCGCGATAACTTGAGCAAAACGTTTCTCAAACTCAAATATATTTATTTTTGACAGTAGTTCGAACAAGTTCGCAAACCAGCATGATATTGGACTATGGGAACGGGGGTTTATGGGGGGTTTTGTGGGGTACAAATTTTTTTCCCCATTTTGACTCTAAAAACATAAAATTTCACAATTTCTTTCCAGACCATTTTGTAGAGCTTAAAAAAAAAAAATTTTATATTGAAGCGTTGTTGTATGCCTAACGGTTACGGAGATAATTTAAAACCCTTTAAATTTAAAATTCCCATGTTATTCTTATTGAGAATAAATAAATTGTTGTAGTTTGCTTGTTTATGGATATATTCCAATCAAATTTGGCATTTTTTTATTTCATAATTTTCATAATTTTGTATATTGAAGCGTTGTTGTATGCCTAACGGTTACGGAGATAATTTAAAAACCTTTAAATTTAAAATTCCCATGTTATTCTTGTTGAGAATAAATAAATTGTTGTAGTTTGCTTGTTTATGGATATATTCTAATCAAATTTGGCATTTTTTTATTTCATACTAAAAAAACATTTCAATAAAAAACACACCTCAGTACATTCCCTGTAGCAGCAAACCTAGGTACTCATTAAAATTAATGTTATTTAAATAGGAAATCTAAATAAAAGGCAAAGCCCTCACTGACTGACTCACTCACTCATCACCAATTCTCCCACTTCCCATTTACCTAGGAGGCTGAAATTCGGTACACCGATTCTTTGGGCATTAAATAGGAAAACTTAATTCTGATCGGGCTTTCGGGCTCTACCCCAGTGGCTCCGGAGTTTCCCATGTTAACCTTATGATTTTTCATATTTAAAAGGAATTTCTTAATAGCTGTTTCAATTAAACAAGTTGGTTCTGTTCTATTATGTTCAATAGCATTAAAGTTATAAGGATTACCAACAGGGTGCAGCACTTTAATTTTTTTAAATTTATGACTATACAGCCAATTTGCAACCAAAAGGTGAGTGAGCGTAGCGAACGAACTTCAACCTGGAAGCGAGTTAGCGTAGCGAACGAGCTAACCTGAAGGCAAGTGAGTGGAGCGAACGAGCTCCAACCTAAAGGTGAGTGAGCGTAGCGAACGAACTTCATCCGGGTACAGTTAGTTTAATATCATAGAACCAACTATGTAGTTGAAACAGCTGACAAAACTATTTAATTACTTTTAAATATGAATACTTATAAGGTTATCATGGGAAACTCCAGAGCCAATGGGGTGGAGCCCGAAAGGATTTTTAAGATAAGAATATGTCTATATGTTAATCGGGAATGTAAGCTATCACCATTCCAATTTTCAGAACAATCCGACCAGTAGTTAATGCGTGATTGAACTTCAAACAAACACACAAACTTTCACATATTTATAATATTAGTAAGATTTGCATTTGGGTTGGCGTAAATATTACAATGGAAAAAAGCGAGAGAGCTTGGATAATTTGATATACTAAAAAGAAAACTGAATTAACACCGTGCTGCATTTCTTAGTAATCATTGAAAGAGCCGATTTGCAAACTATGGAAACATAGGAAACTCATAGACTAATAGAACACCACCAAGGAGAAAATATATAAATAATGTTTTTTTCAGAATTTAAAATCGTTATTATGGACAACCAAATACGGCTATGAGTAAGGCTATTTGTAGAAAACACTAAAAAACAGCAAGATCAACTTTTGAAAAATGGTAAGATAAAGATTTACAAGAAATGTTGATTATATCGATCTGTTATATACATCTTGAGTATTTCCATAATCTTTGAGTCGAATCTTTTAAAGTCATCAGAAATCATGACTGTTATTCGTTTTAAAATAACGCCTGTATTACTTAGCAATTGCTCGAATTCGAGCTACAGGTACACTAGTGTATATATAAATTTGTAAACATGTTGTTAGCTGCTACCTGTGTAGGGTGGTTGCAAGCAAGGCCACCTTTACCTTTACCTTCTGTCGTGAACTTTTACCAGAGAAAAATGGATTGTTCATGTCAACTAACACACATATCACTAATTACACACACTAACACACATGTCACACTAATTAGTGTGGCCTTGCTGCAAGTGATAGCAGTAGTTATTGATACTAACTATGGATACATAACCACTCTAGAAGCACGCTTGACATGATCTCAACTTCCCGTCGGGAATCAGCTGTGATAGCGGTTAGCGATTTTGGTTACGCATCCTGCAGCTATAGTTATAAGATAGTGGTACAGTAATATAGAACTGTTGCGATGAACAAGACAGAAAATCCTGATTGGTTGATCCTATTGTGCCTCTTCAGCTATTGAAGAATGGATGACGGACGTGAGTAACACAGCTTATAGCCTTTGGTAGTATATAGTTAAGTATGAATGTTTAATTGATGTATGTTTATTGTAGATACACTTTTGATAATCCACTAAAATTAACTATGGATACTCCATTTCTTAGACAATATTTAACAGTTTTGAAAAAAGAAAGTTAATGAATTATGCACTTAAAATAAAATGCATTTTGTGCAGTATCAAAAACTATTTCCGTAAACAATCCTACTTTGACAGTTCTCACAGCTCTTTTTTGCTGCTTAATTAGCTATGTTGTCATAAATTAAAACAATTAGTGCTGCACCCTGTTGGTAAACCTTGTGTAACTTATGTGAACATCATAGAACGTAGAACAAACTGGTTGGTTTTTAAACAGTTGTAAATAATATTCCTTAACTATTTTAGCGAATCTCCCTATAGGGAAGTAGCTATTACCGTAGGCGGCACTGTAAAGACCTAAGCCCGCAACCGTTTTACTTTTTCATTTTGAGATCCCCAGAGGTCAAAAACACCAAATTGTTTTATATATATATACGTCCGTGAACGCGATAACTTGAGTAATTTTTGGTTGATTTTGATGAAATTTGGTTGAGTTTTCGAACTAGCATCATCGGACCATAGGGAAAGGGTTATACGGGGGGTTTATGGAGGGGGGGGGAATGGGATTTCAAATTTTCCCCCTCAAAACGCAAAATTTCCCAATTTCTCTCTAAACCTTTTGAAAGAGCTTTAAAAAAAAATTACTATATCAAAGTGTTTTTGTACGGTTATTGGTAATGGAGAAAAAATTAGTCTAAATTTAAAATGTCCATGTTATTCTTACGGAGAATATTGTAAAATGTTGTAGTTTTGTTTATGGATATATTTTGATCAAACTTGGCAAATTGATTTATTTTATACTAAAGCTATTAATATTATTTTACTAAAGAATATACTTTATTAGTTTTATTGTAGCAGCAAAACTAGGTACCGTACTCGTTAAATCTAATGATATTTAAATTGATTTAATTGAAAATCAATTCAGACATGGAAACCGGCTTAGTCGGCAGGTGCTGCGGCGGGGATATTTAAATAAGCTACCTATGTTGTTTAACAAACCCTTTAAACTTTTTGGCACGTAGCCCTTTTGACAGATCTACACCAAACTTTTATACTTCCTCTTTTATAGAATTGGGGTGATTAAAAGCAACTATGTGCCAGAGAAATAAATTTGTATTCTTTCTATTATAAATCGCTGGAGGAAGGCAACACCGACTATCTCCACTTTTGGTAGTTTTGATTTATCACTAAAACAAACTTTGGATCTGCATATGAAAATGTAATTATCTTTTTACCAATTCAAATGCTTATTTTAGTTTAACAATGGATAACATATTAAAGAATAAAAATAACCTCATTATAACTCAAAATATTATTGATTTTATGTATAGGGTGGCAATTTATTAAGTCTGGAACCTCTTTTTAATTTTTAAACACAATAGAAAAAATCAAAATATATAAAAGGCAAAGCCCTCAAAGACTGACTCACTGACTCACTCATCACTAATTCTCCCACTTCCCATTTACCTAGGAGGCTGAAATTCGGTACACCGATTCTTT